AGGAATTCATAACGATGCGTGACCAATACCGAAACTCGACGGTGCGCATTCCAACAAGACAATAAACGTTAGCCACTCTTTAATTCATTCAGTATAGGCGACCAAATTGGGACAACCATTTACAGTGGTAAATCCAGAAATGTTCAAAAGGGCGGGGGAGACGAAAGGGGTGGCCGAAATTTGGGCCGATCGAGACAACAATGTCCTAGGGGGTCCGGGGGGCATGGCCCCGCGAAATTTGTGTGTTCTAGACGCCCGAAAATAACATTTGAGGCGTTGTGGGCTATCATTTATTTCTTTTTCTTTCTTTTTTTCTTTTTTTTTAGGGGGCCTGAAATCCGCCCCTGCATTTATGTTCAAGAAATCACAAATAATCTTACTTATTTAAACAAGAATTATAGTTTAAAATGTCAATAAGAAAGTTATTAGGTAATGTTGTGTATCATAACACCTACTTATGTCGCTTACATCTCTTAAAATGTTTTTCAACTTTGCTGATGGTTTTACACTTTTATTTGGGTGCAGGTCAACTCGGCCACAAGTCAACTCGGCCACAGTCAACTCGGCCACAAGTCAACTTGGCCACAAGTCAACTCGGCCACAAGTCAACTCGGCCACAAATCAACTCGGCCACAAAAAGTTCGGCTTCAGCCAACTCGGCTACAAGTCATCTCGGCCACAAGTCAACTCGGCCACAAGTTATTTATAATTAAAATGAAATGTAAATGTTACTCAGTTTTTGCATCTTTTTGAAATGTGATTGAAATGAAGTACATAGTATATTATTTTAGTAAAATTCTGATCATCGTTGTCGTGAGATTTTTGTATTCATTTCTTCACACTGTACTCTTATTCGACAGAGAAAACCCGCCACTTACAAAATGGAATAAAATCTGACAATAATGTAACATTAACAATTTAAGCAATCTTAATAATTAAGAAAAACACATAGGCCTATATTAATGGTTAATTTTTTTCACGTTTAAACTGTAGAGTAGACCTAATCATACAAAATTGAAATAGAAAAACCACATTATGATTTTTCAAATGTTAAAAATTTATTTTGAATCTGACTAAAATCAAATAAATGCACGACGATGGCGTTCATTTCGATACTATTTTCTTTAGAACCACGCCCAAGAATTAGGCCTACGTAAAAATTAGGTGAGGCGCATAGCATCTAGTATCAATTATCCACAATAGAAACAGACATTTCGCTTCAGTCCATCATAGGCTATTTGTTCGACCAATGGGGGCTATGAAATCCGTCAGTGACAAGGATACATCCAATGACGTGAATCACTGGTGACATGTCGGTGACACGAATCAAATGTCTTGAACAAATTAAAGAATCAAGGCCGTAGCCAGCATTTGTAAAGGGAGAGGAGGATTCAATTTTTTCAGGGTGAATTTTAGTTGTTTTTTTTTAATCTAAAATGGGTTGAAGGGTAAATACTGTATAATGGTAAATTTACAATTTTTATTATTTAAAAACCAACTGCCTGGCAATGACAGAATTTTTGTTACAAAGTACTAATTTTCATGACCACGATCTTTAGATGCCTAGAACTAGAAATGTCACTCTAGAAATTTTACATACACTTTCAAAAGGGCAATTTTTAAAAATGGGGGTTCGTTTGAACTCCGTGAACCCCCATGGCTACGGGCCTGGGAATAGTCCAGTAAATAGCAATGATGTAATGGATTTTTGTTTTTAATTTCAAAAATGATAATCGGTAATGGTATTTGCAAAATAATTTAGATATCGAAAATGGCAGTACTAACACCGAAACAATAACATTTTCAAAAAAAAAAAAAAGATGAAAAGGTCGATGAAATTTAAGGGAAAACCCACGACGAAAACTGTAGTAATAAGAATATTCATATTCGTAAAAATGAATACAGCAGTAGGCCAATAGAATTAAAAATTGCCACTGAATATTTATAAAAACCGAAAGGTCCGCTGATTAATCTCGGTGCAGTATACATACATAAAATTCGACATTAATTAGGCCTATGTCATCATCGGTAGCATGCATGGTTTTTCTCCGGACATGTTGTCCCAATGTCATTTTCGACAGTACGATTTCTCCCGACTTTTGCCACTCACCCCTTTCCATCTTCTGATATTTAATTTCAAGTATACATTTTATTTTTTTATTTTTTTTTTCTATACAATATACATAATCGAAGTATTAAAATAGGCACACGACATCGTGTTATGATTCAATTTGAAATTGTCATCATCGGGAACAGGCTGGTTTCCCGCCCGTACATTTTGCCCAGTGTCATTTTCGACAGATTGATTTCTTCCGGACTTTTGCCACCCACCCCTTTACATCTTATCATATTTCAATTATACATTTTATTTTATGATACATGTAAATATTAATTTCATAAGAATAATATCATAGACATTAGTATTCCAACATGGTTAGTGGAGCTTAGGCATTGCCCATAATATCTCCTTTTAGATAACTAATAACTTACGGAAGTAGGCCTAATAAAAATAATGAAAATAGAAAATAAATAGTTTAGGGGTGAAATTTAGTTGATAAATTCTTGCAAATTGCATACAGTACACACATGTCATTCGCATTAAATTTCTTTTATTATAGTTAATTTTATCTCAAATTTGAACAGAGAGCTGGATTATAGCTCCAGAAGAGGAGTTC